CCTAGCAGCCTGAGCGGCCGTGCATTTCCGTAACCGTCCGCTCCCGTTCGTGCATCCAGTTGCGCTTGCTGATTTTACGCGGCCCCAAAGATCAGCACCTACGGTTGCGTTTCTCGATTTTACGCGTCCCCAAAAATCGACAGGATTCGTTAAGTTATTATATTATCTGATAGGTTCCGTCAGAGCTCTCGTTTTGGTGGAGTTGAGCCTGTTCCTCCCCAACTCCCAGTTTACACCGATTCGTAAGTTCCCAATGAAAAAAGAAGTGGCTGGCGCCTGCTTGGCTTGCGGATGCATGAACGAATGGTGGACGGCCGAAGGTAACATAGGTTGGTTCTCGAAGATAGTTCGTTCTTGGGTGTTTCGTTATCGGTGTCGAGTTAAGAAAAGTAATACGTTACAATGTATACATTGTATATGTGTGAATGAGAACGGCCATATAACATCTGCTGTTCTGAATTAAAAATTTTAAGTTGAAAACCGATTTCAACACCCTCGAAAACTCTTATAATACACAACTTCGCAAAGCGCCGCGAAGTGCCGTAATACGAAGGGGTGGCTTTTGTAAGAAATGCAATCAAACGTTATTGCAAGGATTAAGCTTCTCATGTAACGCATAGAAAGAGCTTTGTAAAAATTGGAAAGGCAAACTAAAGCAATATAATACGGTCTTCATGGGACATTGGTTACACATACATGAGGGTAGTTCACCCTTTAACCGAGGTTTTTAAAAAAAAAAATACAAAGACATGTATCTGACTTCCGTTTTCGGAAAACGAATGGTGACAAGTGCGGGTGTGAGTGAAAAAGTGAAAAACGAAAGTAAAGGTGTTAGAAGGCAATGAGAAGGTAAAAAGGATGGAGAGAGGTGGAGCGGGAAAGCAAAAATGAAGGACCGGGTGGAGGCAAGATAAGAGAAAAGGGAAAGAATGTCGAGCCGGATTGGGAGGTTAGTGAGCGATAGCACGAGAATAGGAAAAGAGGAGGAAAAGGGAGACATCTGGAGGAGAGAGGTGAGTTATACCTATATAGGGTATAAGGTGTATAAGGTGTTAATAAGGTGCGTAGGTAAGGCAGAGGGAAAGAAAGCGATGCAAGAAGGGAAAGAAAATGGGAGGAAGAGAGAAGAGAGATGTGAATAAGGATGGAAGAGATAGGAACGAAGCTAAAAGAGGTGGAAAAAAGGGAGGAGGAGGAAGAGGAAATGAGGAGAACGGAGTAAAGAATAAGCAGAGTGGAGCAGGAGGAACATACAGGACAGGAAAGTAGAAAATTGGGAGAAGAAACTATAAAGAGAATAAAAGAAGTGAAGAGGAGAATAGAACAGAAAGAGGGAGAGAGAAAAGGAGAGAGAACGTAGTAATATTGTGAATGGAAAGGAAACAGGGGCAGGTTAGGGAAAAAGTGGAGGAGTTGATGAGAAAAATAGAGGTGAAGATAAGTATAGTTAACATAAGAGAGGTAGCAGAAAGGAAGACAGAAGGAAGGAGAGAAATAGTGACAGTGATGTTAGGTAGCTGGGAACAGAAGAAAAAGGTGATGGAGAATAAGAGGGAGTGAAGAGAAAATACAGGACAATTTTACGTGGAAAAAAAAGAAAATTAAATGGAGGCTGGAGAGAGTGGCAGAATAAGAAGCGGGAAAGGAAGGGAACGTCAGAGTGGGCTATGCAAGGATCTGGGTAGAGGAGGTAATGTGGAAATGGAACGAGGAGGACGGAAGTACTAAAAAACGCCAGGGCGGGGGGGGAGATAAAGAGAGGAATAAGAAGGGGGCAGAGGGCACGGAGACGTGAAGAAAAGGCAGGAGAAAAGAAAAGACTAAAGACACAGATAGAGAAACGGATACGCGTGGAAAGAAAAAAAGAAGGGAGAGAGGGAAGTGAACGGGAAAGGGCATCTTATTCTCACTCTAAATTTGGAGTCGTAGGCGAACTTGATGTGAAATCAGCTGTGTTAAGTCAAGATACCCTAGAGCCTATCTTGCCTTCCTCACTTTAAAGCTGAGTAGAAAATACCAACGATTGAATCGCGGCAAAGTTCTACCCCTACTGAACTCAGCGTTCTTGTGCCATAGTGACTACTGCATTAGTGTCAGTGCCTACCCTATTACGTGTTCTGGAAATTGGATTAATTACTTTCCTTGGGAAATTCATTTTACAAGAAAACCTTGATATATGTCCGCCTCCGATTTTCTTTGTTATCACATATGTTGTAGTACTCAAAAAACTAAGTGATACATGTTTTTTCTTATGAGCCCAAATTGGGTTTTTGGGGGTGAAAACCGCCCCCAAAAATTGGGGTACTAAACACCCATTTAATTATTCCACATATAACAGTGGTATTTTTCACAATGAAACCACTGGAATGATTTCCTCACAATAAAAGATAAAAAATGTGATTTTCTCAAATTTGTCGAATAAGTTTTATGGGGGTAAACTACTCCAAAATTATTTTTCATTATATACAAAATTGCCACACACACACGCACGGACATTTTCCCTAAATGTGTTTTCTCAACGAATACGGTGACATGAAAATCTCGAAAGAAAAATTTTCCACCGTCACATAGCTTCCTCTATGAGGAAGCAAAAACATGTATCATGCTGTATCTCAAAATCAAATAAATATAAGAACAATTATTTTGATAAAAATCGACTCCTTTGAAATCATAAAACTTTTGTCTGAAACTTTTTCCTATATTTTCAATAGTAACGGTAATAATCGAGGTGTGGACTTTCGGTGAGACACCCTGTATTGTGTGATAAGGGATGAAAGAAGACGATTTCAGACTAGGGTAGAGTTGGCTGCCCGAGCCTTAGGCGAGGGCTGATACAACCCGAAGTCTGGAATCGTATTTTATCCCGTGTCACACACTATACTTTCCATGATTATCTGTATTGAAATCAAGTTTCAGCCAATTAGAAACAAATTAGTTTAAGGCTAATGATGCAGAGAACTATTAGCGTATGCGTAAGATGTGGTGATTGCACGGTTATAACTGTCACTTATGAAAATCAAGAAAGTAAACTGAAGTAACTGACAAAGACAACCAAACTAATAGGGCTAAAATAAGCATTGAATTTGACATACAGATTGAAAACATTCGTAATTTTTACGTACTCGCCAATAGGTGTCCGCGACATTGGTCTGCAATTTTATTGCTTCTACTGGCTGTAGAGACACCGAAACTTGAAGTTTCAATGTAGGTTTCATGCAAAATATGTTATATTATCATTTTCATTATTAACAAAATTTTTTTAATTTAAAAGGATTATTTATAAAGTATGATTTTTCCAACACGCGCATAAAAATGGTGACTTTACACACCTGTTTAGTGGGAGTAAAACAACTGATTTCCGACCAATCGCAAGGTTATCATAATTTTTTCCTGCAGATAAGAAAAGTAGTCATTTACGGAGTGAGAATAATTCAATAACCAATCACAAAGCACAAAAGTGTCATTATCCAAGGACAATAAGGCATAACTGATGAACTCTGTTAATAAATAAATGCGTCTAGTGAAATCGTATTAATAAATTTGTATTTTACCGTCTTTTATTTTTTTTTAGTTCACCCCTTTTCCAAATAAAATCGAATTCTTTCAATTTTGTTAATGAAAATTCTAAAAAAAAAATGAAATGAAATTGTTCATTGCTATTATTGATACATTTCATTAATAAGTTAAAAAAATCTTTTAAAAATTTTGCTTTTGAAAGATCTTTTAACGTTTTGTCCTTTCTACAGTCAGGGTGCTTCGCCCCCCCCCCCCCCCCCCCCCCC